TAGCAAATTCCTGGCCGCAGAGCCAATAGATAAGGGTTATAATTGGAGTGTGTGCTAACAGCCCATTCTACGGCCACATGACTGTGTGCGAGTGTGGACAAGGGCAGCTGCTGTCGCCACTCACGTACTGGCTTAATCTCTCCACTCTCTCTCGCTGTGTGTATGTGTACAGCCTGAGGCTTTCAGCAAGTCAGCATTGCATGCATATGCATCGAGTTGGGATCGCTGTCTTTTGTGCCAACTCAGACATGACTATCATTGAGTCACAGGTCAGTCACAGGCTGGGCTTGAGGATGACGAAGCCTGTTTGGCTGAAGTATGGGCTGTCCCACTAAAGCCCATTCAGTCTAGACCTGTGGTTAGGTCAAGCACACTCCTCTGTGCACTTAATCTGTGCTTTTAACCAAGCTGGGAGGGTGAAGGCTAGCACATGCTTCCTCAAAGTCACATGAAGTGCCACTGCATTTTTATGTACTTTTGTTAATGCAGTGATCTTCAACCCTGGTCCACAGTTTGCCACACCTGCTCCAGCTGATAAACCTCTTCCCAAGTCCCTGATTGGCTGGATCAGATGTATTAGAGTTAAGTAAGGGCGGTGCAGCTTATTGGATACAGGTTGGAACTAAACTCTGCAGGATGTAATCTCTCCAGGGCCAGGGTTGGAGACCACTGGCTTAATGCAATGTCATTGGTCAGCTCAACATGCTTAGAGGAGAATGTAAATTGCCAATTCTGTTACATCAGCTAACAGACACCCATGTTACATAGTATTGCGCGGAGTCATGGGCGGTGCACCCTACCCAGCCATGTGACTCCCAGTTACAGTTGGCAGTATTATAGAAGTTTGGTCATTGTAATGAATTCAGGCTGGAGTTTAGACTCACTACATAACATTGATATATATATTTTTTTAAATGCTGCACTGCCGAACTGGATTATGTCATTGTAGCTAATCGAAACTAGGCAGGAAGGACACACCAATGAATTTGCCTCCATGCTAACAATAGCCCAATTACATGAGAACAAAATTACAGACAATATATCCTAACTGTGATCTTATATATAACTGTGATCTTTTACACCCTTACAGAATAATTATCATTTGAAATGACTAATCTGCTCAAAACTTTCTATTTTTCTATTTGCTATTTTGACAAAAGCAGGAATGCGCTACGGTTTCTGAGTAGATTGAACTGGATTTTTTCTGTGTTCTGTAAAGATAGGACAACCATATTTTTGGCCTTCAAAGAAAGATGACACCTGGGGCAGCACAGGGCAGACTGTAGAAAGCAATTGTCAACATTAAAGCCAAGCCAAATCTCAAACATTGTGGGCAGTCTAGAAACCCTTTTTTAGGTTCCAAAATGTGGACATATGGTCACTCTAGTAAAACTTGTCCAACAGTTGCTACAATAGAGCGTAGCCTGTTTGTGGGCCTTATCGATGGGAGAGAACAGATGCTGGTGAATATGGAATGCTCAAGTGCAAACTGAAGAGCAGATTTCCCTTTTGAGTGGTTGAATTTGAAGCTGATTTCAGATCAGTTTAAAATCTCAAATTCCCCAGAATTAAGGAACGGCTTCTAGGCCCATTGGCTTCCTCCTCTGTACAGGAACTGATAAATCTGCATAGGAAAATAGGAACCTGTATCAGGTTTCTGTTGTTTCAGATTGAATATAAACACAGTTCCATACATTCATATGGTCAAAGTGCTTCAAGTGTTTTCAAGCACACTGAACTCAAGGGCCAAAGTTTAACATCACCTCAAATGATCCTGTAGCTTCTCCTTTCTAGTTTTTCTTTCCTTATTAATAATCATATGAAGATTATGTATTGAAGACTGACCTTCCCTTAGAATTGACACAACCCCAGGACAAGGTGTCTGTGGGCTCTGACCTTTTTAACACTCTCATTAAACTGTTCACTCCGATCTGATCAAATGTGCTGTAGTGCTCCATTAGTGTAGGCCTGACTGTATACGTCCACACAACACGACCCCACAAACTCACACAGATGTATAAATTGCTTTAAGGTCGTTTGAGGTGTCTGTATAAAATGTGACAGTGGAGCTCTTTATCCCATCACACCCACACTGTGTAACACAGCATTCTCTCAGTTCCCTTCAAAGGTAACAAGCTTCACTTATTGATTTCTGTGACACCCACTGCATCTTTGACTTTTTAACCCCCCTTTTTCACAGTAGCCATGAAACACAATTTCCACCTTTGGAGGTCCCTTAATTAACTATGCATTTTTTCTTTAATAACATTGATAAAAACATATTTTGATGGATATGATTTACAATACTGAAAGTGAGCAAGCAAATCAACATTTATAAAAGTGATTTTATTGTGTTTTAAATTATATTTTGTATTGTGTTGTACAGGATTATTTACTATGTAGAAAGTTGTGTTGTCTTTTTTTCACTTCAGAGGGATAACAGAGTTACAGGGTATTTTATTTGATTATTTTCATTAAAAAAATATGACAATCGATTTCCATTCTGGAAGTGGAATGGCCACTAGGGGGTCTGCAAAATGAGGCAAGGCCAATGTCTCTCCTGGCTCCATTCTTATAGTCCACCTGCTGCGGAGTCAGATTGGTTTAGGGATGGGTATCGTTAGGATTTTATCAACACCGATACTTATCGATACTCTTATTGATACTACTTGTCATAATTTGGTGCAAAAAACAAAGACATGACATGAAAAGATTCAGTAACCTACCTGTAGTACTGTAAGGCTAAGAATTCCATCTTATTTGCCAGCTTCTTGCTCGAATTTTCCCGTTGCAGCAGATATTATTACGGCTAAGGCGCCAGCATGTAGCTGCTGCACCATTTAAGGTGGAATGGGAAAATTTGAACAAGAACCTGACTTCAGCTTCGTAGTTTAAATGCTGGTAGCATATTCAATAAGGCGATTTAAGCCATCAAAACATCCCACGTAGAGGTATGGAGCTACCTATAAATAGACGCTATTGGATACAGGTCACTATAGTAGCACATTTCGACACAGGTAGCACAATTTGTCACAACACCATGAGGCCAAACTGTGGCTGTTGGTACAGCAGCCGCTTTGCTAAAGCAAACACGCTGCACTGCTTTAGATTTATAGCATGTTGTCTTTGTAAGTGCTTGATGTAGATGCTGGTGTTACCCCATTTATATTCAGCTACTGCTTTGCATATATTGTATGTAGCTGCATTATCATTAAATCACATAAAGTGAGCCCACACTATTGAACGTCTGTCAGCCGTCTGACCGGACAGCAGTCAGGAACCAGTACCAATTTAGTCCCTACATTTGGTTGCGGTCGACTTAATGCAGCCCTGCACAGCACTGGCTTAAGATGATTCATGCTGGACTCAGAACACGCTGGTTAAAAATGATGTCCAACTTTCACCGGTGCTGCAGTACGTCACCATGTCACATGACATTAAAATCTCGCAGGAGCATGGCGGTGGCAGTTTCTGAAGTGAGGCACAGCAGTTGCTATCCATCCACTGCACGAGATACAACACGCCTTTGTGACGTCAAAACATCACCCTCGTTGGCTGGAATCTCCAATGATAAACAGGATGTGTGCATCATGTACGTTACTTTTTATTCGAAGAACCTCAGAATGTTATCTGCTATGGTCATCTCTCAAAGCGATTACCTCCTTCTAGCAGTTCATTTTACAAATGGCCACTACACTATAGTTTACACTATAGTTTTTATTTCTGGTTTATGTATATATTTATGGAATATGTATCAAGGAGTGGTGGGGTAGGGCCCGTTTAATGTAGAAACAGCAAAAAAGCTGTAAAAACAGTGGAATTCAGGAGTTTGTTGTTTTAAAAGAAAATGTTTTTGAAATGAAAATGAAATAATGAAGAAATAATGTATTTTTGAGAATCACCACTATCACACCCAATATTCTCATTCTTCAGAGGGTCTAATGACTTTCAGAGGAAATGTGTACGTGTGGCAAAATGATTCAGCTTTGGAACATTGTTGTTTACCACAGGACATGATAAGGGAGATTTTTGAAAAACAGCATTTATTTTTCCTATAGAAAAAAACTGCTTAGTCCCAGCAGAACGACAGACATCTTCAGAAGTCTACTCTGCTTTGATCAGATATTCAAGAAAGGGTTCCTCTATTGTGGTCTTGCGCACTATGAGAAAGAGAAAAATGCCTAATATTAAACCCTGTCTAATGTCCATCTAAGAACTGGCTTACATTAAAGAGGAATTCCACCAATTTTTTTAAATTTCTGCATAATTCAATAGTTGGCAAGTAAACAAAGTCAGCCTGATATGAAATATCCCACTCAGATGAAACTTACCCACTCAGATTGCTTTACAGTGGCGGTGATAGGAGCTGGGGCCACGTCAGCAGCGTAAATATAGTCTTTCATTTATTATCCAGTGAACCTTAAAGGTGTCTTCAGAATTTTATATGTAATGTTGATAATGGTCAATTAGTGGTAAATCCAAAAAGTTTTTTTTTTATTTATTTATTTGCACTATTTTACTTTAAAATGCTGTGCATGTACCTCTCCATTATAAACGAATTAGGAAAAAATAGGCCAAAACTCCATCTCAGAACTATTGCAAAACGATGTCTCAGACAGCGCATTAGTAACATTTCATGTAAGAACTTTCTGTGAAGTAGCTTTTAAAGGCATTAAACACTTCAGACGTTTGGTTCCTATCATCACCACTGTTAACAACTCTGACTCGGTAGGTTTCACTAGAACGGAGCACTTGATATCAGTCCGCTGAATATTGATAGAACGATGGAAGTCCACCTAAAGTCCCTCTTAGGAGGAGGAGGGGCGTGGCTATACCTTCAGCCCGGCCTAATCGTAGCCCGCCTCAAGCCTCGTCTAATAAGGGGAGGGGGCGGGGCTAACCGCTCATTCCACCAACCACCGTGTACATCAGGCCACGCCCCCATTCGCAGACCAGCGCAGCCAATCACAGCGGCGGTCCGGCGCCGCGCTCCGCTCTCCGTGTGGCAGCGGTCGAGCCGTCAGCGGAGCGGCGCTCACATTCACGCGTCTCCAGCCATGCAGCAGAGCGACGACGCGGAGGTTCCCGCTCTGAACGACCTGAACAACAACAGCAGCAAACACAGGAGCGGCGCGCAGGGCAGAGATGGATTCAGAAACCAGCAGAAAGACTCTGAGGTAAATCCCAATCCGGACAGGGGGTTCTTGGGCGTGTGTGTGTGTATGTGTGTGTGTTGTTGCTGGGTTGCTGTAAATACCCGCTTGCTCCTCAGCTTGTGCTCTCCGAGTGCTTATTCTGGCGACAGGGCAAGTCCTCGCTAAAAATACCCCACAAAGATCATTTGAACGCTGCAAAAGCAGCTGATGTGACTGATGGTGGTCGAGACTCAACCATGCAGCACAAATTCCAATTGCCATTATCTAATCATCTATATGGATTACTGTATTGGCTTGGCTTTATACATACACATACATGGGATGGCCAGTGTATGTATGTGTGTCTATACACACACACACACACACACACACACACATAGATAGACAGAGAAGGAAAGAGAAATTGCTGTGAGAAGCTGATTTGGGTGGAATATTTTTTCTTAATTGAACTGAACTGAATTTTGAATGAAGTCTTGTTTTCTTCCGTGAGAAGCATGTTAGAAATCACTGGTCAGCTGTGTTGTGCCCAGTGCAGCCGCCTGTAATGATTTGCTTCAGGGCAGACCGGAGTGCAGCAGACAGTGCCAGGATGTCCCTGCTGCCCCAGTGCTGCCATATAAGCCAGTGCCATTAAAAATGAAAGCTGGCAAATGCATTTTTACTCACTTCTTTGCAGATCTGATCTTTTTTTTCCAGAAGGAAAGTGGCCCCTCATTTTGCTGTGGCTGGGTACAGCATAACCCCACCCCCCCCCACCCCACCATGCCCCCAAGTTATCCTAGTGAATTCCTCGGCTGTGTCAGTTGAGGCATATTGGATGATGTGTGTGAAGGAATTGGAGCGTGTTTTTGCCCCCGTAGCCCTGGTTTTCTAGGACAGTGGGGAGAGAGGTTTTGGATGTAAACGCATAAAAACACACCCATGTCTGTCTCCCTGGAAGAAAATGACTAAAACCAAGATGATGCTTGTGCACCACTGGTCCCTGGGCTTACATGAATAAGGCTGTCTGAGTTTCATTGAGAGGTCAAATAAGGTATCTGTCAGATGGAATATGATCTTAGTGACCCGTTCGCTTCAGGCCACGGCTCTTGTGATGTGTGTATTCTGTGCTGCACTGTCTGGTCGTGTGGTATTTATGGAATATGCATCAAGGAGTGGTTGGGTAGGGCCCCTTTGATGTAGAGCCCAGCGAATGTGTCCTGGCATCGCTCATGGCTCTGTTTGTGCCAGTGCTGAGGTGGGTATTATAGACTCTGGTGTTTATGTGCTGTGAGGGTTGATTTGGGATCAGACTGCTCCAGATGAGTTCAGTTATAGATATAAATATCCCTACAACATAAACAGAACCTAAATCAGGCCTTTTTCCTTACGGCAAGTATGTTTGCACTAAGGTCTGACCGATATGTCATTTGGTTGATATTAATGTCTACAGATTTAGCGGCATCTGTAACAGTCCGGCCAATAAAGCTCCAAGAATCTTGTTTTAAATGTTATGGAAAAAAAAAAACGAATTTCATAATGTGATGCTATTTTGTGCAACAACTGAACATACTGTTGGGCGCTAATAATTTACTTTGAGAATAAGAACCACATGAAGATATGGAAGCTATGAATCCTATCAAAAGAGCAGTGCTCTAGCACTGATATGGGATTTGTGTGCCAAAGCTGATATCCAGTAGTCTTCATGTACATATTTGCTGATGCTGATACATAATCATTTATAAATGAATTTGGAACTACATCTTCTTACAAATACTGTAAAATGCATAAAAATGCAGATATTTAAGTGCAGTAGCCCAGTGTTGCCTAAAGGCAACAATTCTGCAAAATAAAGAACAAAGTGAAGCAAAGAAGCCCTGAACTTTGTATCAAATGTGCTAATGTTGCTGCCAAAAAGTTGTAGCCTTTTGCTGTATGAATTTAGCCATAAAACTGTTGCAATATCAAGTTCAGCTCAGCTTTTTCAATATTTTCCAGATTAACCTGAATGTTGTTTTGTTCCAGCCAGTCTATAAAGAATTTCAGAGCCCATCTTATTTGCTGACTTGTACGCTGTTTGTTTAATGTAGTCCTGCTGTCACACTCTTATTCTGAATCTGACCAAACAGGCTGCAGGTCAAATATTAACTTGCAGAAGTTATGTAACATCTGCATTTTTTGTTTTTGTATGTGCTAAAGTAGAAACCTTGGCAGAATCTCACATGGCTTGGTACTCCCTTTGTAGTGCCCATGCCATGTAGGTCATCATGCTTCTGCATCTAAATAGTGCATTATTGGTGCATTAATACTGCATTACACTATGTTTTAAATATGTAAGTAAATAGATAAATTCTCATATTTGGGATTTGTAATGTTGTTTAAAGAAAGCCCCTCTTTTTGCTACAATTGATTTGATATGATTTTGCCTTATTTTAGCTAAATGAATGGGAATTATGTAGGAATTATGTTATGCACCGTTTGGATGGTCCCTTAATGAACCAAAGCATCAGTGATCTGTATTTCCAAAACATTATGTTCATTAAAACTCAAAAACGGGCATTTTCTATATATTTGGTTGTAGTTCATTCTCGGTCTTTCAGGAGTGAGAAAATTTGATCACTTTTGGATGTTTATTTCATGAGAAATCATGAATATCCACCGAATGTCCAGTATAAAACTAACTGTGCTACTATTCTGGTGGGAGGAGTTGCCAATATTAAAGCACATTTGATCCACTGATTAGGGCTTCTTTTCTTTTCTTTACTTTGTTCCTTCATTTTGCTGAACTGTTGTATTAAAGCAACAGAACACTCAAGGTCGTGTGCTTGAGGTATTTGCAAATAACATCATGGCTTTAAACTGTGATTAGGCTTGTCACGATCATGACATTTTGGCTGACCATTGATTGTCTTATAAATAATTGTGATTAATGATTTAATTGTCTTCTTTTGCTCATTGTTTGCAACTATTAACTCTCATATCATGTTCTGAGTCAAAATGTTCAGGTTTTCATGTTTATAAAATACCATTACACTTTATAATTGTACATGAAACTTGATGACTTCGTCAACAGTGATGATAAGGATGTGTAAAAAATGAAGATGACCAATTTTTTTTGATAAACTCTCTACAACATTTGGGTACAAAGATACTGTCCAGGGTCAAATTTGACCTTGTAGTTGAATGGAGCAGATTTTGGAAACACAATGCAGAGATAAAGTTTATTATAGTTTGTAAGGTTTTACACACACACTCACACACACACACCGACAGAGTTTGTGTGTCTTGTGTGTGTGTGCAGTATTTCTCTCTCTCACACACACACTGTCATGGAAGCTAAATATTTCTTGCAGGAAAGCATAATCCAGACCTTTCGGGGGGCGATATAGAGTGCAGATTTATGTTTATGACAGTAACCTATAAGGTTACCTGTAACCTGTGCAGGACAGAGCCCACATTTCTCTCTCACATATTTCAATCTGCTGCCACAGTAATGGCTAAAAAGGAGGTTCACAGTCTATGAAATCCATAAAGTCATTGATCAAGAAGCTATTTAAAGAGTTAAAGGATGATTTAAAGGATGCTGATAGTGAAATAGAAGAAGAGGCATCTGAAACAGAGGAAAGTGTCAATCAGGTCAGAGCATGATGAGTTATGCTCTGATGAGAAAACTGATTGCAGAAAGATGCTGAAAGGAAGCCGTTCCTGCACAAATAGCATGGTCCTCATCCCCCTCTGAAACTCAGGGTAAAATGGCACCTCAAAATATAGTCAGATTGACCTCACGGCCCACAAGAGTAGCACTGACAAGTGCTGAAGTTTTCTTCAGGAAACATGAATACAACTCTTTAGGTTTCATTCGTGACATAAAGATCAATTTTCATCCATGACATAAAAGTTGTGAATATATTCATAATGTGATGTCATCAACAAAAATAAAATATCTATATGTGCATACATGCTAGAAAGAGATAATCTGGTAGAATTTATGGCGCCTACATCCAAAATAGCAAGCTAACCCCATAATGTTCTAATTCTCCATGTGTGTTGTGATGAAAATGAATGTCCTATTTTAAGGCAAATTAATAATTATGAATAGTAAAATAAAATAAGTTAATCTCTAAGTTGTTCATGGGTACGTATTCAGCAAGCAGAGTGAAATGAAATTGTAGAGTAACATATCATTGCTGTCCAAAGAAAAACATGTATCTCTATTTTTGTTGATTTTTTACATCATTTGAACATGGAAGCTGTTATTTATATTGAGTGAAAATTTCATGATGAATGGACCAATAGAAATGCTGCTAAAACACTTGGAATGAAACCTTTTTTACATTAACTTACATTACAGGTTAAGAATGTTTTTGCCTTCTCCTGTTAAATTACCATTTTGGAGATACATGTTTTTGTTTGGACAGCAACGATATGTTCTAGGACTGTTTAGAGTTAATTTAGCCATACAGGGTCTAAATTGACCCACAAACATTAATGATCTGACTGATTTGCAAATTAGAATTACAAGCCTAAAGTGGCCGTATTGGCTGATTAGCCACCTCACTTGCTAGCTATGTTTACTTAGTAGCTGACACTGGACATGCAATCAAATAAATACTGTGCATCTACATTTACATAGAATTGTGTGTAGAGTTAAGCAAAGCTGCATGTTCTTCACAAAAGTAAATTTAAAAGCCAAAAAACACTCTTTCTGACAGGATACATGCTAAAAACGTTAGCTACATAGCTAACAAACCAAGAAATATTATTTAGCACAACCTTCTAAACATGTTAGAGCACAAAATTAGATGTTACAACTTGTCATAATCCACATGATGTCTCAATGAATGCATTTACTGCTTTGTTTCGTTTACTTTAATTGGCCTCAGCCCGATGCACCCAGTTCACATTTTGTTTGTTGCAGCATAATATTAAATCTAATGACTGTGGAAAATGATTTTAGTAAGCTCAAATGATTGCAAATTAGGTGATTATGTAATAATTGTGATGAGCTCAGTTGTGATCGAATAAAATTGTAACAGCTGATATGAACAGTTATCAGAACCTTTAGCTCCTTAAATCAGTGCCAAAATGATCATATTAGCCGGGCCCTAGTTTACACATACACATACGTTGGTCACACAGTACTTTACAGTTCACTGTGTGCAGTGCGTTTGTAATAATGTGTTTGTTTTCACCTTGATTGCTGTTGTTTTACGTGTTGGAACACTTTGACCCGTGCGCCGTGAATAAATTGACAGCGGCATCGGAAAATGGCATTGTGTGTCATTGATCTGGCTTCGTCCCCGGTGATTAGAGTAATGGAGTGGCTCTCTCGCTGAGAGTGGGTTGGCGGTGGCTCAGAGGGAGCATCCTTCTGGAAAGGTGTGAGTGTGTGTGGCTGTCACAGAAAACCCCTTACGCCTCTCAGCCAGTGCCATCTGCTCTCAGAGACCAAAATAAAACACCACTGACCGTGTGTGTATTTCCATATTAAACTTCCTCCACTGCCTGTTGGTGCACTTAACCATATGTAAACTGCTTCTGTAAATGTGTGTATATTTTTTGGTCCCTAATTGGTCCTCTTGCATGCAGATTGTGTAACATAGTGTGCTGTGATCCAAGGGGAAATGATGTCTCATTCAGTTTTAGGCTCATCTTGTTGTCCTTGTCTCTGGTGTTCCTCAACTGATACAATTCAAAAACACACCACAGAAGCCTGGGCAGCAAGGGTGCACAAATGCATCTATGATGTCTCTGAAGGTGGCAATTCAGCTTTGTCCATTTTGGAATATTAGAAGTGATTTTAGTTGTTTTTAATCATATTTAATAAAGTACCGCTCTGTGTAAAAGTCTTAAGACCCAGTCACACTAGAGTTTGTCAGTAAAAATTTGCTGATTCCAATGAAATTTACCTCAATGCCCAATTTCACATCACAGGATTTCCAGGATGAGTATATTATCTGTATGAAATGAAGTTCAATTTTCAGTGTTCTTTGACATGTAATTTAGTGTCTTCTACAAATAGCAGTACTACTTTGCCTGAATTGACCTTCAGTGCACTGAAAAATGGAGTTTAACTAGTGTGTAGTACAAACCTTTTACCATTTCTCTCCCACTGACTATGAATAAGCAAGTGAAAGAGAGACTGCATGATGCCAGTGATTCATTAGACTGTATTATAATCTTCTGTGATTTTAGTCTTTATTTGTTGTAGATGAGTTAGCCAGCTTGCTAACCACCAACTTTTTTTGCTACAGATCAGTGTTTAGCACTATGCTATGGCAAGTATATAGGTATCTGATATACTTATGTTGACTTTTCTGTTTTTACTCTTTATGGTAGGACAATTAGCCAGCTTGCTAACTGCTATGTTAGCTCCTTGGCTAACCACAGCTCCACACCCCACTGATGCCAACTACATCAGTTCTCTACATTTTTTGGTACAGCTCAGTTTGCAGCACTAAACTCACATGAGTGTATAATTATCTGATATATTTAATTTCCCTTTTGTGCTGTTACTGTTTATGGTTAGCGAGTTAGCTAGCTTCCTAACTGCACTGACATGGAGGATTTTTTTCATCACTGATCTTCTGGACACCCATTTGGCAACCCAGCATGAACTGCAGATGTCTAGTGTGACTGCAGCTTTAGGCGCCTAATTGATTTAAAACCATTTATCTTGGCTGTAAGTGTGTTTTTGCTTATAATCTTGCCATATACAATTAGAATTAAAATTACACAGTAAAAGATAAAATAATATCTTTTTTCAAAAGATATTTTGAGCTAGTTTGAAGAACAAACTTTCGCTGCCCCCAGTGATCACATAGATTTATTAAATTCCTTCACCAGCACATCAGTTTTAACATAATAAAGTTGCTACTTATTGTAATGTTATTTGTATTTAATTGTTTTTTTTTTTGAGCAAATAAACACAAATTGCACAATTAAGTAGCTTTATAAATATTTTTCAGGTGCCTAAAACTTTTGCATATGCCACTTCTTGATAATAAATGTGCTATAAGGTTTTGTGTCATTATTATTTATATTGCACTACTGTGTAAAAAGTTTCTTCCATTCACATTTATACATTCAGTGTCTTTTAAACTCTGATTCACTCCAGAATAACTGAACAGAATCAAATCGTATTCAAGTCTGAGATTTCATGATGAATTAAATCTTTTTGTAAAGAATCATAATCAAATCACAGAGGTCTGCGGCCCTGTTTACAGCTGGTATAAACAGTGACTTGATCATAAGCGGACAGTAAGGCATGTGGCTGTTTACTCCTTGACCCCATTCAAACCTGTACTTAGTACTTGTACTGTCCACTTATCATGGGATCACCTAAGACATATTTTATTACGTATTGGTGCCAGTGTGTCTTGAATGCATCTCCAGTGACCGACCACTTGACTTCATGGACTGATGATGCAACTTACAAACAAACGGTTGAGGAGACAAAGAAAAACTACACGAAGCAGCTGCTTACTTGCTGTGGTGATGATGCAGTTGTTTAAGGTTGCTGTTCACACTGGGGAAAATATCAAATTGAGATTTTTCTGACCAATTTTGTGATTGCAATTTAAACGCATAGAAAATTATTTTCTTTAAATTAATTTACAGGCCTGTTTTTGGCCAAGAAGAGCAGAACATGCGCTTTTTTCTGCCATGAAGCTTGAACATTGAGTGCATTGAACTACCAGTTAGTTGTGATGGTTGTGATGTCACATATACAGAGCATGAGGGTTTGCCGATTCTGATTAATGATCTGTGTTATTAGGTTAAATTTTCTCCATTTAAAACTCATTAAAACTACAAAAGTTGGTGATATTGTATTCTGTAATAAAAACTGCAGCTCTTGCGGTTTGAAGATGGCACTTTTTCAAATTGCAATTTCAATATAAAAACAATTAATCTTCAGCCCTAGTTCACACTACAGATATTATGTGTTTATATGTGTCTACGATCACCTCTGAAGATGGTTAGAGTGATCAGATCACAATTCGTCTCCAAGACACTGTGAGGCTGTTTACACCTTGCATTAACATTTTTTACTAAAATCCCCAGCAAGACCAGATCCGGTTTTACTTTCTCATGTACAAAGCACATCAACAAGTGAAATCCATTTTATTTTTTCCACCTGTTACCATACAAATCGACAAGCTTAGCTTGGATGCTTTCATTAGCCTGGACTGCAGGAAGGTTTCGGGGGAGAACTCCAGCCTTCCATCTTGAATTTCTTGTTTATCCTCTCACTTGCTAGCCAGCAATAGGCAGACACATTTACACTTCTGTTATTGTCTGTGAATATAGAAAACACATTTCAACTATAAAGCAAGATCCATAAAGTCATGTTTGAGTGAGTTTGGTGTGGAAGAACTTGACTGGCCCACATAGAGCCCTGACCTCAACCCCATCAAACACCTTTGAGATGAAATAAAACGGAGATTGCGAGCCAGGCCCTCTTGTCCAACATCAGTGTCTGACCTCACAAATACTCTTCTGGATGAATGGGCAAAAATGGGTCCTGCTCATACTTCAACTTATCTCTGTCCACTTATGATCAGACCACCCTAGACTGTATATACAGTCTGTGATTGAGCCGTAATACTGGTATGTTCATTTCAGTGGTGTTCTGGTGCTTGTGGGACTGTGCTGTATTACCGTTCGTATCACTCAGGGTTCTGTAGCATCTGCATATTGATTACATCTGGAGTCAAGTTTAAAACAGGCTTGATATCTTGAACTGTCTGTGTTAATCTGTTATTTTGAGTTGCTGGAGTGAGTACGCTGTGTGAGTCTGTGCCATTCTGATGGAAGAAAGAGAGAGTGAGTGAGTGAGTGAGTAAAGGAAATGCAGGAGATGTTGAAGTGCTGCCTCCAAAAGCTGCCAGCTCTCAAGACTCTGCGGAAATGCAGCCCTTTAATGCTACTTTAATGCTAATTTAATGCTACTAACATTTCCACTCCCGTGTGTGTTTGTTATGTATGGGAGTAGTGTGCGTGGATAAGTGTGCCTGTGTGTTGTGGCACTATGCATAAGAATCGAGAGCAGATCTGTATGGTTAATTCAGGTATCTACATTGTCAGGGCTTTACTGGAGCATACATTTCTTGGAGTATGTATGTAGTGTCTGCCCCTGCAGTTTCACAGCCTGGATGCCAAATTTACATGCTTCCTAGCTTGAATGACATAAAGCCATTAGAATGTAACTGACAAGCTAACATTTGCTTCTTAGTGTTTGGTTTTTATGTGGTATGTGCTCCTTTTTGCCACCATAAAATTCTTCATCTATTTTTAAATGTAAAGGTGCACTAAATTCAGACGCCACGTAGGGCTGTCATGAAATTTTAGGTGACAATTAATTGTTACATAAATAATTGTGATTAACAATTTAATGGTCTTTTTTGTTCATTGTATGCAGCTATTAAAAAATACTAGAGTGCTTGTGTCTACTCTAGTATGTGTGTGTGTGTGTGAGAGAGAGAGAAAGAAAGAGAGAGAGAAAATAAACAGTGTTGTCGCACTCCCAAAGGGTAAATCCCCGGGTGAGACCCACAACAGTGTGTGTAAGAGCTTTGGCTGGAAAAGGCAGCTAATCCAGGTAGAAATGCAGAAATGTAGGCCAGACTGACTCCTGTGCTCTCTGTGTTTCTGCCTGTTTCTCCTTTATTTCACTCTTACATCTCCACTGCACACACACCATCCTCCTGTTACTGTATTTGCATAATCACACGGAAAACACGCTGCCATGGTTGGCGTGTCCGGAGTGGGAAAAACAGTGGAAGAACCTGAACTGTGTGTTCCCGGCAAGCCGTCCATGCAGAATGCTGTCACTGTGTGTGGGATAGATTATGTTCATTATGTTCACTCACTTCCTTCTGCTCCTCAGGGCTCCATGGAATCCCCCAACCTGGAGTTTGAATATGGAGACACAGACAGTCTCACGGCGGAGCTCTCAGGTGAGACAAACACACAGATACACACTTTTATACCTTCTCAGAACATAAGGTTATATACAGTACTGTGCCAAAATTTTAGGCACCTGAGAAAATTATGTTCAAAAAGCAATTTATCTGGGTGATACACATTGATTTGCATAGAAAACACTAAAATTAGAATTAGTACAAGTAACATTAATACAAATAGTATCAATTTTTGGTTTTCCATTGCCAAACGCCCAGTATTACTTGTAGCCATCATCCAAAACCTTCTTTATCTTTTATCTAAGTAATCCTTCATTATGTTTCATTATATTGTATCAAGTGTGCTGGGGAGGGAATTTAATAAATCCACGCGGTGGCCATGGGGACATTCAGGAGAAATCTGGAGCCAAAATTTGTTCTTCAAGCTAGCTCACAAATATAACCTCTTTTTTCTTAAACAAGAAATTCTTGTCACTTTTTAACTCATTAATGTTTATTCCGCTGTTGTTGGAACAAAACCTGTTGAAGACCTGGATGTTGTTTAGCAGGTTGACAGAAGTTTTGGGGTTGTATTTTAGGAAAGATTTGGGTGACTTGTTTTCTAGTGTTTGTTCTAGTATTAGCCTCCTAGCACCAGTTTAAAGCAAAATTTTGGACATCAAACATGTCTTGGCTGATCAACTACATCTGGGGTAAATGGTTTTGATGATAACGTTACAGGAGAAGGAAAAACATGCTTTAATTTTAATGTGAGTCAACGCAATCCAGATTTTTTTCTAAGTAATTTTGGGCCGTTTCTTTTAGTCCATTCATCATGAAATTTACACACAATGTAAGAGTAACAGGCATTTTGAAACAGTGTCACAAACTGAAAAACGTGTGTTCAGGTACTTAAGACTTTTGCACAGTAGTGCATATGTTCCATGTATGTTATGCATGATGAGGTTGATTCCAAAACACAATATATCAGTATATAGACAACAAAGAATATTCTTTTGATTTTTTTTAATTTTATAAAATATTTTAGTGCTAAAATATTTTTGTACAGAAATAAAAGGATATTGAATCTTCCCCCCCCCCAAAGTGCAATATATTTCTATTGGGTTTCAAGTAATAATTTTTTGTGGAGCTCCCCCGCCCCAGTTTAGTCATGGTCATTCCCCCCAGCCACTAGTTAGGTCTTCCCATCACACAGTGCTACCAAGCTTGGAAAGTAAAGGCTAGCACATCCACCACTCAACATGCTTGGAGGAGAACACTAAATGCGATTTCAGATAAGTCAGCTATCACACACCTGCATTAGCTAGCATCGCAATGAGTGATTGGGGGAAGGAGGGAGGACCATTCTACCTATCCTGCCCACCCAAACAGAGTGAGACCACTTATTCTATTTTGGACTCCCAGCCACAGATGGCTGTGGCTTCACCAGGGAAACGATAGATTAAAACACAAAAATAAGTAATTGATAATACTAGATAAAATCTAAAATAAGTTAAAGTATCTTACATAAAGGATGGAAAGTGACCTTATTGGAATAAAATATTTAATTATATAATCTCTCCCAAGATTTTTTCTACACATTCAGGACATACTTGTTGTTAAGGAAATTGGACTGAAAACACGACCCTCTGTACCAATTATGAGATTTGCCCACTTATTGTGTAGTAATTACCATGAACTTACAGAGCATTAAGGCTGCCTTAGACCAGACTGTCACAGCTGTGTTTTGTATGGCAAGTAACAGTTTAATTTCTGTATGAAATCTTACCAGCTGAATGGTTGCAGTGGATTTTAGTGCCTGAGTTGTTAATAGATAATGCTAATGAACACAGAGCACATGTTCAGCAGTTTGTAATACACTGTACCTATTGTATTATTATCATCTTTTCCTTTCTCTTCTTATCTTTCAGAACTGTACAGCTACACAGAGGAGCCGGAGTTCAGTCTGAACAGAGACTACTTTGAGGAGGACTTCAGAAGCCATGGTACTGTCGGTATTAACACAACACAATCTGATGTACTGCTGCTTTCTGGGTGGGCTCTGGACTAAGAGTGGGCGATATAGCAAAAATTGTAACGTCATGACGTTCGATGGCATGTAAACATTACATGATATGTATCTTGATATGTAGGGCAAAATGCACCAGCAAAACAGTCGTGTCTCATATGTCAGAGTTGTGTGCTCTGTTTAATACAGTTTACAATAATATAAAGTCAATTTTGTTGCACATACATGTATACAGTGATTCTAATAAGCTTGTCTTGTGCAAATTCACATTTTAACTAATTAGTAGGAAGGTGTAAGAAAATAAGGAACTGTAGAGTGAGGTGTGAGTGGTTTTGCTTTGTTGTAGAGTGTTACAGTCGGAGTGCAGTGTGGGAGTGTGTGTGTGCTGAGTGTGACAGAAGGAGCAGATTAATTAAAACAGTCCCAGGTG